CAAAGCAACATTAACATCTTAAAACACATGTTAGCGCTTACTGGTTAGTGCCTAGGCCGTAGCTTACAGAAGAATGATTTATATTTTCTTGCATCTTTTCATATTTACGACTTACACCGTTCATTGGTCCTAGATTGGTTCAGAAAACATGAAATTGGATTTGCTTCTCCTGATCGTGTTGATGTTTGGTCCACGTGGCTTAGAACTGGCCTCTTCCATGAGGTTGACCTCACCTGTGTTCAACAGGGATGCTGCCAAATAAAATGGAGGTTTGGGGCAAGAGCTGCTGTGTCAGCAGATAGCTGATTAGTTCCTCCCAGACAGCGTTAAACTTATCTCCAGCATGATGTTACCGATCACCGTGCTGCAGGGAATGACATACAGTAAAAGAAGAATAAAGCTGAATTCTCTACAGGAAACCTCACAGTAAGTCCTAAAGTGCTTTGTGAGGTTACCATGCATAGTTGAGCTGCTGCTGCTGCTCTACCCTAGAGCTGGCAGATCTTCAGTGGGGAGAGAGAAAGAACCATTTCAAGCAGATGTAAACATTTTTATTCTTTCTATAAAAGGAATACACAGAGACAAGCAGTCTAAACAGTTTGAGGCAATAGTAACAGTTTTCATATCTGCAGTTAAAATGTACACTGTGAAAGTACTACAGTTGTCCAGATTTATAGAAGGGATAAAATGGAAATAGGTAAGAAGGAAGGAAAATAATGAAGGGAAATACTACGTTGTAATGTCACAATTAGTTGCATTTGTGTTTATGGAAAAATCTGAGATGCTCTCCTAGCGTTGGTGTCTGTGTATGAACTTCTCCTAAACGGCTGTGCGATTTTCAATTGCCAGAAGCCCTCTTCTGTGCAAGCGTGTGTTTCTGACGATCAGTCTGTGCTTTTCACTTCTTAATTGCAGATGGTTCACACCCAAGATGCATAATTTCCTTTTTCTTTCATTGATCTGTGTGGTTAAAGGAGGGCACGCTGAGCCCAGAACGCAGCGCTCCTGCCCCGCTGTGACACTGCTGCCCGTAAAGGGGCTTGGTGCCACAAGCTGCCTTTGTGCTGTTCTGGGCTTTTCTGCCTCTGTTTTCTCTGCGTTTAGGCAAATTGCGAGGAAGCCTGTAGCAGAGATGAGATGGTTTGAGAACGAGATGCTGAGGAGATAGAGTGGCCTGGGTTGGTGAGTCCTAGCAGGACAGCTGTGGGGAGCAAACTGAAGCCTTGCTCAGGGATGAGGGGAGAGGTCTTACGTGGACATGAAGATTGCTAAGGCCTGGGGGAAGGCAAAGTCCTGGGAAATAGAGGAGGAGAGTGCTTGGGAGGAGGGGAGATGACCATGAGAAAGTGCTGAGGATTAAGAAATAGGGATCACTTCTGTCCGTGTCCATGGAGAGAGAGAGAGAGACAGGCTGGCAGACCCTTGCCCTGGGAGCAGCTGAGGACAGATAACCTGTCACAAGGAGTGTAGGTCCATGCCTGAAGTAGAGGCACCAGCTGTTACAGGTCTGTGATAAGACGCTTACTTTGAAGAGAAGTTTGATTTTGCTATTGGTTCCAGGGCAAAAGTTGATTCTATGGGGTAAAGAACTGCAAATGTATTTTCATGTGTCCTGGAGCATTGTTTCCCCCACTTTTTTACCTTGCGTATAACTTTGGGTCTCAGTGGGATTTCAAGTGATGTATGAGTTTAAGATATTCTTACTCTTTTCTTTACACATATATACATATGTATACTATGACAGGTCGATTTAGGAGCTTAAAATCACAGGTTTGGGCATACAGCTGTTTCTTTTCTAAGCTGTTGCAGACTGGAAAATTATTAGATATCAGTATGGATTCAGGGTAGAGAATTCAAAGAAGTCCCATTGTATTATGTAAAGATAAAATCTTACACCCTTCTAATCAGAGCAAAATTCTGAAGAATTAAAAAACTGTGATTGCTTGGGATAGTGGGATATTATCAAACATTTTCACTTTTAAAGGCTAGGAAGACTATTCAGCACCAGCATCTGTCAGCTTGAAACTGGGCTGAGTTTGAAATTGCAATTTATGTACATGGACAGTGTGCCTGATCTAAAATGTATTTGCTGAGGAGAGTGTTCTCATGCTGGCAAGAGGCTCACCACTGCTGGCAGGACCCATTTATGCAGTTATGTTTTCTGTAGTGCTCCAGACCTTTGGAGAAGAGCAGCTTTAGCTGAATTACATCTCACTTAAGGCAGAAAATATAGTTAAGATAAAACGTGATGCACAGCTTGTAGAAAACGATTTTGTTTTATCATGGAAACATTTAGCAGAGCTGAGATACTGTGCTGATGGGAGCCGTAGAAAATCTGAGAACTGACAGCGTGGAGTTTATTGCGTTAATTAGAAAGTGGTGCAGTGTTAGTGAGAAAATGTATTTTGGGTTCAGCATTTTCTGTGGGTTTTTTAACATGCCTTAAAGTGCTTTTTGGCTACTTTGGATGCATAATTGGAGATGCTGTATGTGGAAGCCTGCGCTATCAGAAAATCAAGCCCTTTTCCTAATAACGCATTTCAAAATACTGAGGATGCGTTCAATGGGACCACATCGATGAATCTTTAAAAACGGGTAGCTAACAGACTGGTCTGATGTTTATGCTCATTCTATTTTATCTTTGTGTAGCAGAGTGTTTTTAGCAATAGAAACATCATTGCACAGAAACAAACGACCCTCTGCTTCACCGTTGTTACTGCAGTGTACTTGCTGCTACAGTATTTTATATCAGGTAACTTTGGTTTTTAAAAAATGACAATAGAAATGACCTTTTGTTTTTTCATTACCTCATGTGGGATGGCCGGAGGGTATTTTCACCCTGTAAAGGCAGTAAAGCTCTCCGACAGATTTTCTAACAAAATCCTTGTGCACAGCTGCGTAACATAAATCATTCCTTCCAGTTTCTGAATGTTAAATGTTTGTTGTATGAAAGTTACGGCTGTTCTTGCCTGACTTTAACAAGGCTTGGGGTTTTTTGTTTGGCACAAATATTGTTGCTTTTCAGTGTTATAATCATGCTGCCCTTCTTTGTAACAATTATAGGGCTTGAGTGCAAGCAAGTATAGGTGAGACTGCCAAGATATTTGTATTTTCATAACCTTCAGCTCATATTTTACAAATACAGTGTATGTTGTCTTTTACTTAAATTATTTTTTTGTAAATTCGGGTGGTGCTTATATTACCAAAAAACAGACTATAGCAAAAGAAAATTCAGCTTGTGGGGTAAGAGTTGTTTTCTGGGACTAAACCTGTTATTTGTGCTCACAAGTTTTGCCCTTTTTCCACGCAATGCTAAGGATCACATTACCATGCTTCTGGAATGAATCGACTTGCACTGCCTTAATTAAAGGTATCAAAGTAGGAATGAATAGCCATGGCTGCATCTGTTGCTGCTGATTTTCTTTCACTGCCGTAGTGTAGTGTGGGCCACTGAAGGTCTCTGTGCAGGTTCGAGGTGCTCTGGCTGATCCCCAAGACGTGGGAGCACATCTGTAAGACCTTCCAAAAATCAATCCACATCATATTCGGGGGGGTGGCAGTTTGACCAAGTGCTGCCTTGATAATAAAGTCATGATGAATTGTATTTATAAAAGCCACTGCCACTGAGGTAGTACGTAAGGACTGCAGCCTCTTCATGCGCAGCACTAAAATCTGGGGTAAAAATTGAGCAAAATCTTAGCTCGGCAGGGCAGAGAGTGTGCTGCGTGGGTCTGCGGAGGGTCTGGGCAAGTCTGTGCCGATTAAACTGGAAAATATCTCATTCCACTCAGCTCTAATTTAGAGATATTTTGACATGACTGTAGGTGGCAGAGATGGTCTGAAACAAGTATCTGAAGAAGGCAGATTGCTTATCCTAAGGGGAGGCAAAACAAAATCCTTTCCCAGCTTCAGGCTCAGTTTTGGAGGCCTTAAGGACTCTCAGGTGGGGATGCCACTCAGGCCAAAATTCAAGGAAAAGATTCCCAGGTTGCCTGGTCTTTGCATAACCTCATAATAAAAACTAGAAATGAGGGTTTTGTTGGATGCAGCAAGTGGTTCCAGCGAGCAGGCAACTGCAAACAGAGCTCAGAAGCGAACGCTGTGGTGAGAAGAGGCTTCAGACGGCCAGGCTGCCTGCCTGGCTGCGTGCTCATATCGGCTGGTGACCCGGCGGTGTAATGAGCACTGAGGAGCTCCCGCCAGCTCCGAGGCAGATAAGCACAGCGTCTTGCAGAAAGCCTCGGTACCTCGTAGCATCAGAAACGAAGCTGGTCAGAGTGGTAAAACAGTGGATCAGAGATGAAGTTTGCAACAGAGCCCTGAGCTCAAAATGTCAGATCAGTTGTCAGCAAGTCATAAGGGAGACAGAACCTAGAATACGCTGCTGGGTTTTTGTTTGTTGGTTTGTTTGTTTCCATTTTATTTGAGAATTAAAATTGGAATTAGAAATGTGCTGGTACTTCTAATACATACTGACTGCTTCCAAGCAGAGCTTGCACTCAGTATGAAAAAAACCTCCTCCTTTTTTTCAAAATATTTCATAGTACCTACGTACTCTGATTTTATTTTAGGAGTTGTTAATTGCTGTCCAGAAGAGGAAGAAGCTAATGGCAGGAATAAATTGGATGAAAACTGATTTATTGGGGTATAAATTGAGATTAAAAAATCATTCTGGTGTAATTTAAAAGGGAACTTACAAATACATACATAGCAAAATATTATGCATTCCCCTTTCTCCCCCCAGTATTTTGGCTTCTGATCTGCACATCTGCCATTTTACAAGGGTGTTTCTATAGCTTGTATTCTATCTGGCTGAAGAAAATGCTTTTTCATATTTTCAGTCTTAAGCAGAGAGGGAACTTTTAACAGGTTGTCCTGTGACAGAAAAAGATAATTTGGGATCTAGGTGCATTATTTAACTAACAAATCTGCAGGGTTATTTCTGTGTTAAAATGTTTCCAACACAACATTAAGATTTGTTGTTTTTCTTTCAGATACTGATGAATACAGACCACCTGTTTGGAAATCTTACTGTAAGTATCTCAACCAGTTTTTGTTTTGTTTTGTTTTGTTTTTCCAAGTCAGACCTGAAAAAGTTTCAGCTGGGGCTTTAAAAGACTAATTTTTCTTTTCATTAGAATGTGCATTTAAGCAGCATCAAAAGTGAAAGGGTTCATTACTGTTTAGAGATACGTGCAGTTGTTTATCCTCAAGGTCAAGTCAACACAGATTATTTGGAAACGTGGATTCTCTGTACCTTACTAACAAGTGGTCCAGCTCCTGTGTGGAACTGGCTTATATTGGTTTGGCTGCCTAGACTGGGGCTTGCATAAACTCAATTTGTCCTTTAAAGTTAATATCATTTACATACTTTTAGGGCTCCTGTGCTTTAGTACCTTGCATCACTACAGTTGAGACTTGAGCGAGCTGGTTAGAAAAACCTGAAATAAATAGTTTTCCCCCAGAATTTGCTGATGTAGTAAGACAAGAGCATTTGTTTGGCCTGGTGTGACAAATCACGAGCAGGTTTTTTGAAGCCCTGACTAGAGGACCTGGTTTTGTACCAGCCCACCCGACGGACCTGTGCAGCTGTTGGTGTGCGTGCCCCAGGACGCTGAGGACACTGGCTTCGCAGCCTGCCTTGGTCAGGCGTGCAGGGCAGTGGTCCGGGCGCCTTGCCCTGAGACAGAGCACCACTCCCTTGGGAATTCCATATCGTGATGGTTTTCATTACTATTTAAAAAAACCCACCAAGCTTACATGGAAATATTTTGTATTTCAAAATTTTAAGGGATAATCTATTGTTTGGAAGTGCTGATGGAGGTTCAGGGAGATTGAAGAGAACACACGAGACAAATGGCACCACAGCAAAGCATCGTGGTTTCCCACAGTGTCTTACCTCTAAATACTAGTTCTTTGTAGATAGAAAAGCTAAGGTGTGAAACATTTGGAGACTTGAGGAACCATGGCAAGAAAGAAGAGTCTTCTGTTAAAAGCAGATTTTGAAAGCAGAATGTTTGTGTGTTTAACACACTTAACAGTCTAGGGACGTCAGACTTTCATTTGCATTTTCTTTTGTATATATTCCCAAGGCTTGGTGTCTTCAAGCTGGCTAAAGCGATTTGCTCAAGCAATGTTTCACATGATGAAAATGTTGCTCTCTAAAGGCTGGGGAGATTTGGCACCTGAGAAGATGTAGTTATGGAATGTTTTCACGGCATCACTCTAGCGGGAGATTCTTTTCAGTCAGAGAATTTGCGTTGGTCTTAAAGGCTTGGTGAAAACCATGGTTAGAAAGAGAGTAAGTGTAAAAGCGTGGATTGAAGTATTTTTGTCAGCTAAAATATATGTAGTAGAATTAAATGAGCATTAGAAAACCAACTTTTCTGTCACCTAGACCAGTCTTCTGTTAATGGCTCACAGAGTTGAGTTGTTTCTGTTCTGCCCCTGCCATTACCAACCTGATGCATTCAAAAATCACAGTTAGGCTTTAAAACTCATCAGTCAGCCTTCTCGTTTGGGTTTGGTTTCCAATTTTTGAGTTGTTACAGAGATCATCAGTTACATAGTCAAGATCTTCTGTGCAATATGAGCACTAGATGACTTCTGTAAATGAGAACATGTCTCATAAGAAATTTAAAAGACCTTAGGCAGTAAGCAAATACTCATATATTGTCAAATATGTGGTAAAAAATACAGGAGTTGCCAAAACTGCGTATGCCTTAACAGTCTAGGAACGTCAGTCTCCTAAAATACATTTATGTTAATTGAAGAAAATAGAAAGGCAACATCTAAAATAGGCTGAAGGCTTCCAATTTGTCCATCTTGAGCGTTTTCTTTAAATGGATGACTTTGAACGGTTTTTAATAACTGCCAACATACACAATTGCTGTCATGTAATTGAGATGGGTGGGACCTTGGTCTGTTTGTGAATTTGGTGGCAAAGCCTGTCAGTGCCTTTTGAATCATTGTTTGTTATACCAGTAGCCACTTAATATTAGAGAATTTGCACACAGAATGGTTTGAACAAGCTTTTTGCTTGCAGTGGAGGACTAAAAGATAAAACTGAGACACTTCACTCCTTGGTATTAAACATCATTAGTTATGATTGCAATACGTTTTTGTACTTGTTACTGAGATAGAAGTATTTTTCTCCCAGTTGTAAGCATGAACAGTGAATCACAGCTCTGTACCTTCCATGAACTTGGGGAGGACTGCCTCTTTGTTTGGTTTATTCCATGCCGTAATCTGTAATGGGGGGTCCAGCCTCTCTAGTACCAAATCTTTGTTGGCAGCTTGCTAGGAAGTGAAGGCTTGGGTGCATGCAAATGTGTGCGCGCCCACGCTCCTACACCATCGTGGTTCGCCATGGAGAACCCATCCCATGGTTCAGAACTAAGTGCAGAGTCATGGGGTTTGGTTATATTTCTGTCTCATGATGGATGAAGAGGAATGTCTTGTTTGACTTCCCTGGCAATAATTACAGCAAGGAAACTGGTCTTGAACAGTTTGAATGGCATACATCAGTTAAAGGAAGAGGAACAGGCATCCTGTTTTGTAACTTAACTAGTCTACCTGCTGTGCTTGTGACTGGACGAGGAGAAAGGTATTGCCTTTGGAGAAGAGGAATTTCCTTCCAGAAAATCGTTTCAGGCTGGCTGGAAATAAGGTGGGAAACAAATCTCAGTTTTTAGCCAATTTCTGCAGAGTATGCTGATTGTGAGTCTCCACTGCTCTTCTGTGAAATTCAGAGAAATCCATATTCACTTCATGATTTTTTTTTTCCTTGGAACTTAACTCTACAGTTCTCAGTATTAGACATGGACAAGGGCCAGTGCCGTCAAATATGACTTTTACAATGGAAGCTAGGGAATCTGCGTGCTGGGCAAGTAAATGCTCATGCTATGCTTGAAATGAAAATTGCTGGTTTATATACTAGTGTGCTGTTTTTCGTTGCTTGCAAAAATCATTTGTGTAATACCAGTACGGAACGGTAAGGGTTGATTTTAGCAACGTCTGGAAAAAAACACTATATTTTTTGTTTGGAACAAAGGGAGTGATTTTTTCCAATTTATCTTATGATTGCCGTATTATTTGGCATCTTGCCACTTTCTCCATTCTCATGTAACTTAGCACATAAATGCAGCATTTGTTGGTGGAAAAGACTTGTGATCAAATGAGAACTGTAATAAAGTTAAATCTTATTGGGTAAATCAATGTATGGTCTTATTACCTGAAGAAGATGACAGCATGTGCTATTTGATCTTGGTGTTAATACTGATTATTGAAAAATAATTTAATTTTAAAAGATTACAATTCCAAATGTCCATTTTATCAGGTCTGGAGTACTATTCAAACACTAACTCAGTGCTGACAGCCGCATTTTGAAGGTGACTTGCCAAACCAAACTCTTTTCGGGATAGAAGTTGAAAGTCATTCCTTTGGTATTAGATTAGAAAGTCCGCACGTTAGTACTGTTAAATTTACAGCTGGCTCCTAAGATTTATTCTGGCCTGATGAGGCTTATTGAAAAAAAAGAAAAAAAAATAAAGGGAAGGGGGACATACTAGTAAGTGTATGTCATAATATGGGCCTTAACTGTTTTACCCTGCTACGCAGCTCCTGATGTCTTTGGATCTGCAAATACACAGGCCATACTTTCCTTTCTTTGACAAGGTCATCACTGAGCAGTGGCAAAAGCAGAGGGTTTGATTCTGCAAAGCTCTGAATGATTCTAGTGAAGTTTTGCCATATTTCAGGTGACTGACTGTGTGCGCAGCGTAGTAGGATGTGACTCCATCTGCGTACTGAAAAAAGTCTGACAGCAGCCTTTGACATATAATGAAATTTAATTTGTGTTTATCATGATTCCTTTTCTGATCTGCTTGATGGAAACTTGACTGACCTTACCCAGTGACTCCCTAGTATTTGATAGATTAATTGTAAAGATAATAAATCATCCCGGATTGGCTAGCAACATTCTGTTAAGTAATTTTTGAGACCTTGGTATATGTATCATTGCACTAAATCTTGCAGAGAGTTGTCTTTTTTTTTAAATAGCAAAATTTAACATTAAAAGGCCTAATATGTACAATGATTCTGTATTAATCAGAGTTTTTCTGCCGTGTCTCAGTGTATCAGTTGCAACAGGAAGCTCCCCATCCTAGAAGGATAACCTGCACTTGTGAGGTGAGTATTATAAAGATTCAGTTTTATAGAGTCCAGTAATTCCAAGTCTATACTTAATGGTGTCCAACCCTAATGACGGTTGCTTGGGAGACTTGGTGCTGTAATTAGAGTATGTAGCCTTGGGGCCACTGGTACCTGGAAATCCATTTGGTCTAAAAATGGAATTAGAAAGCATTTTGAGTATGATATGTATACCTGAGAATCATTTACTGGTTTTTTGTTCTCGGAAACATTCATTTTGTCCTCCTTTTTGGGTCAGAAATGCACAGAAGCAAGAGCAGAGCTGTGCAGGGGAGCCACGCACCTGTTTGTACGCACGTTGCTGCTAGGAACATGCAGTAAATCAACAGGGGCAAGACTGCAACCTCCCCTCATGCTGTTATTTGAGTTGCAGTGCTCAAGACTCATTAATACTAGTAGCTAAGCTGTGCAGAGCCTCAGCTTTTAAGGATCCAAACAGTAACACAGAGATCCTGCTGATACACGGCGATGCAGAGGCACCTGCTCGTGGGGTGGGTTGGTGGGGCAGACCCCGGATTGCGAGTGTTGCAGGGGAGCAGCTGCTCTCCAGGGCCGCCGTGCCGCAGGATTCGACTGCCACTGAACAGCCGTGCCAGCAAGGTTTCGCTCATAACTGCACCTCTCCTGCAGCTTCAGTTAGGAACCTGGGAAACATTAATTTCAATTGCAAAAATGTTGAAATGTGAGGCTTGACTGGTTGAGCAGTGTTACAAAACACAGCTCTTACTGAATAACTGCTGAAAGTTATTACATTGCCACAATAAAACTTAAGCATTTTTGTCATGTGCCAAGAGAAAGGAAATGAATCTTTTAAATATGTTAGTCACTTGAATGTAGTGTTAGACACAGAGGGACATAAGCACCGTCGAGAGCGTTAACAGCTTACAGTGCAGATCAGGAAGGGGCTTACTTTACAGAATTAAACAGGCATTTTGCTGTTGTCTTTTCAAATGCCGAATTGTGATTCTATGAAGCAATCTGTCAATTTTTAAGATAAAAAGTAGAGATTTAACATAAGTGAAATTGCATTTAGTGGAAGCACTCTTGTTTTCTTTTGTTAATTTCATAGAATCATAGAAAGTTTTGGGTTGGAAGGGACCCCTAGAGGTCATCTAGTCCAACCCCCCCGCAGCGAGCAGGGACACCACTAACTAGATCAGGTTGCTCAGAGCCCTGTCCAACCTGGTCTTGAATGTTTCCAGGGATGGGGCCTCCACTACCTCTCTGGGCAACCTGTTCCAGTGTTTCACAACCCTCATTGTAAAGAATTTCTTCCTTATATCCAGCCTAAACCTACCCTGGTTTAGTTTAAAACCATTACCCCTCGTCCTGTCACTGCTGTCTCTACTAAACAGATTGTCCCCATCTTTCCTATAGGCTCCCTTTAAGTACTGAAAGACTGCAATCAGGTCTCCCCGCAGCCTTCTCTTCTCCAGGCTGAACAAGCCCAACTCTCTCAGCCTGTCCTCATAGGAGAGGTGCTCCAGCCCTCGGATCGTTTTTGTAGCCCTCTCATTAGCTAACTAATTTGATAGATTAGTATTTTTATAAAATGTGTGGCTGTAGCTGATTGCGCTTTGGCAAGACATAGCTATAGGAAGGAACAATTGAATTTTACAAGAAGCATTGTAGCAAAAAGTTTTGGTTTAAGCAGTGTTTCTACTGTTAATGAGGGTCCAAGCAGGGGTATTCTTGTTAAGGTTGTTGTGCAGATATCTTATGTACATCAAATGAGGTGGGTTGGAGATCTGAAGGAGAGATCTATAGAAGATAAAATCTGAGCTGTGAAAAAATGGGAGGTTTTCCAGTTTGTTATTGTCACTGCAGCATTATTAGGAAGGTTCTCTTCTATTTTGTGTGTTCTTTATGATAGGGTTTTTCATTACACGAACATACAAAATATCTGAAGTCTTGTAGGAGCTTAGTCTTGTAATATAGGTTTCTGATGGTGCAGAGATTGTACAGAATGTTCGCCTGGGTAGGATGAAGTATTTTACTCCCTGCCTCCAGTGGACTGTGTTTATTGTTGTTAAGTGCTGTTGAATAGTTGCTTTTTCCTTCCCCTCCTCAAAAGTATTTCACTGGTGGAAGAAGTGCTAGTATGTGTGTAGGTAAATGTATATATGCATATTGTAAAATGTATGAGGGATTATTGGTAGGCTTCTGATGCTGTACATTGAGGTGCTGACATTATGCCTATACAATCACTGTAGTCTTTTATTTGCTGAGTCTTGTCTTAGAGCCCTGCTATGGTTTACTCATGTAATGACAGACTTTCATACAGTGTATGCTTACAATGTTGCCTGGCTCTGTGGTGATGAGCCACAGTCCTTCAGTTTCTTCAGTGAGATGGTTTGAGAGCCTCAGTTCTGAATGTTTTAATTCTTACAGAATTAGAACATCCATTTTTCTATATACCTTTCGGTTTGTTTAAAAAAAATCCAAACACAACAAACTAACACCCACCCTCCCACCCCCAACAAAAATGTAAGGAGTGGGAAAGTGCCAGCACAATTAAGGAAATCTTACAGCAGATACCATAACGCTTGTAACTGTTTTGCATGTTGACTGTACAGTGCATACGTACCCTGTAGTCAGGGAGAAACTATAAACTGATAAAGGGGTCCAGCATATTCGGTAAATTCTGTTGGCTTTATAACCCATGCTAGTTTGACTGTAGAGAAGTGCTCTGAGGTCTTTTTGCCCTAGGTGATAAGAAGTCAGAAGCAAATTTTATACTCAGTTCTCCTGTGTAGTATTTCTTAGAATACTACTAGCCTATCCAGTCAAATAAGCAGAGATGTAAAAGGGTATACAGTATCTGAAAATTAAAAATGTCTCCTGCCTCTGAAGTGCTGGAAATCCTTCAGCTATTAGTCAGATCCAGAATGCTTTCTTGTTGGAATCAGACAAGAGACCTGCTCTTGCCAGCCAGATATAAAAGCGTCTGTGTAAAGCTTCTTCAAATACAAATCACGCTGACCACTATAATTTTCTCATCCTCATTATCACTGATTTTTAATATGGTTGATAATAAGACATTATTAGCTATTAAACAGGTGGAAAATTGAAAAGTTGGACTGTTTTAGGGAGGAAAATTTGCTGTGGGTGAGTTGTGTCCCGCATGAACTAACCATCCAAGCTCTTTGGAGGGTATCTTGAGCGTACTGCATCCCTACATAGAGAGGTCACAGAATCACAGAATCACAGAATAGTAGGAGTTGGAAGGGACCTCTGTGGGTCATCTAGTCCAACCCCCCTGCCAAAGCAGGGTCACCTACAGCAGGCTGCACAGGACCTTGTCCAGGCGGGTCTTGAATATCTCCAGAGAAGGAGACTCCACAACCTCCCTGGGCAGCCTGTTCCAGTGCTCCGTCACCCTCAGAGGGAAGAAGTTCTTCCTCATGTTCAGACGGAACTTCCTGTGCCTCAGTTTGTGCCCATTGCCCCTTGTCCTGTCGCTGGGCACCACTGAAAAGAGTCTGGCCCCATCCTCCTGACACCCACCCTTCAGATATTTGTAGGCATTTATTAGGTCCCCTCGCAGCCTTCTCTTCTTCTCTTCTTTAGGCTGAACAAGCCCAGTTCCCTCAACCTCTCCTCGTAGGGGAGATGCTCCAGTCCCCTCACCATCCTTGTAGCCCTCCGCTGGACGCTCTCCAGTAGCTCACTGCTGGCTCATGGTTAACCTGTCGTCCACCAGGACACCCAGGTCCCTCTCCGCAGAGCTGCTCTCCAGCAGGTCCACCCCAAGCCTGTACTGGTGCATGAGGTTGTTCCTCCCCAGGTGCAGGACCCTGCACTTGCCCTTGTTGAACCTCATCAGGTTCCTCTCTGCCCAGCTTTCCAGCCTATCCAGGTCACGCTGAATGGCAGCACAGCCTTCCGGTGTGTCTACCACACCTCCCAGTTTGGTGTCATCAGCAAACTTGCTGAGGGTACATTCTAACTCTTCATCCAGGTCGTTGATGAAGAAGTTAAACAAGACTGGGCCCAGTACTGACCCCTGGGGGACACCACTTGAATGTTTCCAGGGAAAATGTCAGGTCAATGTCAGTTAGTCAGTGGGGGACTGGCGAAAGTACCACCAGCAGTCAAAACACTCTGCTAAGTCCCGTCAACACTGAAGAAAGCAGTTCAACACATTAGTTTGTATCATCATATTTCTATGAATTCATTCCAAAACAAGATTATAACATATGACAAACGTCAAGTAAGTGTAAAACTTTCCCTGGGCAGAGTGAACAAAAAAGAAGAGAGACATTCTCTTGTTTAAAATAGCTTCTTAAACTCTGCGGAGTAAACCTGTGTCTGCACCCGTGAACACTGTTGTAGAAACTGAGAAATAAAAGCAGCAGATTTTAGAAACTAGCAAGAATTGAACTAAATAAAATAGAGCTATGAAAGAATCAGTCAGTTGCAGGTATTTAGCTGCAGAACAGAGCATATTAAATACACATTTTCTCATTAAAGAATCCATTTATAAAAAAAAAAAGCTCTCTGAAGCTTATTTTTACCAATAAAGGTAAAATTGAAATAATACATTACCAGTGCGCATTTTCCTACTTCTGCATTAATTTGGTATAATGCAGATAACTGTTTTTCATTATAAGTATTGAACAATGTATGCAGCTGAGCCAGATTTGAAGTGAAGATATATTCAGCGAGCAGTAATATGTTTAACCTTTCTCTTTGGTCTCAGCCTCTCCAGCTAGTGTTGAGCTTTGCGATCTGCTCTTTCTCAGCTGGGTTTCTATTAGCAGCCGTGCGTGAGTCAGTGGGGAGCAGAATCTTTTCCTAAGTGGTTGAATTATTCAGCTGTACAAACAAATTCCTAAATATTAGGAAGAGGATTTTGGTCCAGAGAACATCAAAGAGGTCAGTGGGAGGGAACAACATATAATTTGGTAAGGTATTAGCACGTAAATTGCTTCTTTTGCCTTACTGTATTCCACTTGTTGACATAAGCAGGGGTGATGATTAGGGGAAAAAACACTTGTTAAAGAATAATTGGAAATCGCGCTGTAAAAAAGCCAACCTTTTATTTAAGGCGCAAAGGCACATGTTGTACAAGTGCCGATACGAAGAGGTATATTCAGCAGAATGACCTACTTAACATGAAATGCTTCTCAGATACAGAGAATTCAAGTTTCTGCTCTGTTACACCAGTTTCATATCAGAGCGACGCACAGATCAGTGGAGTTACACTGACATAGAAAGAGCATTGCATTCATTTGGGATTTTTTATTGTAAAGGTGCAGCAGAGCCAAGACTTTTAACACTGTACGAGGTTAATTTGTAAAGTTCGTGATTCCATAACATTCTAAGGATGTTTGACTTCTGCATGAGGTTTGCATCCAAATTGTAATGTTGTTTGTCTAATTAATACTATATTACCTCCATGGAATTTGTGTTTGTTGTGCATACAATCTTTTATATACACATGTGCACATGCAGGCATATTTAGGGCATCCTCGACTGCTGTATGAAGGCACTCCATGATAAATTTTGAATAACTATGTATGAAAAAATATCAAACAGACAAATGATGGAGATAATTAAAATCACTGGCCTTTACCATACTATTATGAGGCTTTGTCCTAATTCAGTGCCAGTATTTAATAAGCCTGTTAAACAGCATCTCTGTAGCCTTGTGAAAATGGCCTCTGAGTAGTGAAGAAACATAGAGTAGATGGGAATATGTAATGCACATCCTTGTTAGAGCTGTTCTCAGATGGCTTTATCAGTATGATACTCAACCAGAATGACTTTCCCAGCTTTCATGGTAACGAAGCTCTTTTCCGAAGGAATAGCTACTGTAAGGCACTCGCCCCATTTATCTGTTCATAAACTTGATTTCATTGGCTTCACACCTCAGTTTGAAAAAATCAGAAATGAAACTGTGGTGGATATCACATTGACCTTTGTGTTTCTTGCAGGTATCGTAGTGAGACCTCAATCTTTCCTGTGGCCTCTGCATCAGTGCTATGAAATAAGCACACTGAAAACAAAGATCTCACAGTTATTTTTTTCTTTTTTTTTTGCAAGTTAGAAGCAATTTTTAAAACTGTGCCAAGCACCGGCTAAACAAACAGCAATAGGAATATTTTCCTTTTCGTTTATAAAAGTCCTGCGAAGTCAAAATACTTAGCATTCAGCTGATCTTTGCTGGATACAGAGAAGATGAAGTAGCTAAGGATGCCTTTACTCATGCTCAACGATACTTTGGTCCAAAAATGCTGCCAAATCAGAACAAAACTCTGCAGAGGATAATTACACTATATTTTCAGCTAACAGCTTTAGTTAAAACGACCATTTTCTTGCTACCGCTTTAATTCTATTTCAAAATGTATTTCCATTCTTAGGTGGGTTTTAGTTCCAGTCCAGATGGATGCTTTGGTTTTGTCTCCTTAACTTAAGGCTGACGGAGTGTGAAATTTAGGCTAGTGAACCTTCTGAACGGAACTGTTTTGGCTGTCAGTGCTCATGTGCAGCTGGAGGATCCGTGGGTAATCTGTAGAAACACAGTCTGGCAGGAACTTTGTGAAGTCCAGGCAGACACAAAAGACCAAGAAAGATCCATGTTGCTTCTAGTTCTGGTGCAGCTAAGGATACCTGAAGTAAGAACAAATGCTATGCCACCTTTTATTGCCGAAGTTACTGTGAGTAAAGTTGGTGTAACGATACTTGCAGGAAGCATTATAGGGAGCTGGCAAACAGTGTTTGCAGTCTTACGTGGTAAATTTGGCTTACAGGAAATTTGTGTGTCTTAGTAAGTTCACCCGGACTGCACTAAGTGTGTGTGTAGCCCAGCTAATTCTGAGTAAGTTAGAAGGCCCCTGCTGAGTTCTGATGAAGTTGCCTTAGAGTCTAAATGTAGGCATTCAATCTAGATGTCAAAAACCCTAATATTATAATAAATTTTAAAAGTAATGAAAAAACAAAAACCAAAACACCAAAAACCAAGCAATAAAACTCCATGAGTTGGGTTGCAGTTGCACTGAGTGTTATACAAGCAAACAGTGTTACACATCGGCATTTATACTGAAGTTTTTGTGAGTTGGTAAAACTGATCAGTAGAGACTCAATATTAACCAAAGTGGTTATTTTCCTTTCTAACTCATCATCCACTAAGACAAACTGCAAACCCAGCTACATCTGCCTGGAAGTCCAGCAGAGCTTTTCTCTGATGCTTTGCTCCAGTCATCTGCCAGTTCACATTTTCAAATGTTTGCACACAGGGTATAATATTATAATTTGTCATAGGATTTGCAAGTACTCTGAAGATGCCCTGTCACATGAATAATCCATTTCTGGAGTGGAATGCTTTTGCCTATATAAATTTTCCCGTTCTGTCATATAAATTCACTGTATTCACTGAGATAAATATAAAATTTCAACAGCCAGACAACAAAATCTTATTCACAACAGGATTCTAAGAACTGCCTGAGACTAGTGCCTTGCCTTATGCGTTTTAGTTAGGAATTGTTGCAAGTTTCTATAATAACAACAATAAAATGTTTTCAATTTTTCTCCATTCATGTTGCTATCTTCCCATTGAAGAAATAGCCTACATATAGTGAAAAATATGTAAGACTGTTTTTTCTTTTTTGAAATGACCCAGTCTCTTCAGGCCCTTTGAAACCAGTTACAACACTGGTCAACTCTTGTTTGCTGTTATGAAGGAAAAGGAAAGCTTTTAGAACATTATAAATCTTTCCAGTGATGGAATGATTGTTCAGAAGTGATGAACCATCACAATAGCTTTTTATTTGCTGGGAATGTGGAAGAGTTATTTTTAAACTGCACCCAGGATGTATTTTTTTGGTGTTTTGAACACCTGAAATCTTTATTGATACTCCACTAGGATAACTGGAGAGGAGTACTAATTTTAATAGGGTTTTCTCTGAAAAGATAGAAAAAAGAAAAAAAGAAACTGAAGTGGCAGTTTACTGTGGGTCTTTTGTGTTTTGTTACAGCTGGATCGTTGTATACTCTTGTAGTTCAGGTTGTGTAACTGTTGAATTTTTCTCCCCAATGAGTTTCTCCTCTTTAAATCTAGCAAGGAGGGATAATCTGGTGGTTTAGATTATTGAGCTGATTGCTGGGAGGTCTGCAGGTCCTCACGTGTCGATAAACTTCCTGGGCAGTTACAGATGAGTGACTTTGGAATACTGGGCAGGCAGGCTGTGTTCTGACACCCTGGCATGCTGCGTGCGTTCACACTGCATGGTCTCTGGAGCACGGACGGGGTTGTGTTACACAGCATAACACAGGCATACCTGTTGTTGAGGTCTCTTAGGTCATACCACAGGTCACACAGTTTAGTGAAGAAGTGCAAGACTTAGGCGCTTGCTAGGGATCGTTCAGTCTTGCCCTCACTCTGGGGGGATATGGTAGTGGCTTAATGTCTTGCAGCAGTGGCACCAACAGCTCTGTGATGGAAGAGAACTTGTAAATGTAAGAATTTCATAGACGTTTCACTGTATTAGTGCACTTAACAATATCGTACGCTTACACCCATGACATTAATCTTTTGTTTCCCTTCTTTGGCGGTACTTAATGCCATCAGTTTGTATTAGCAGAGCCCCAAGGACGACATGATCCAAGCAGCTCATTCTTTCTTGCTCCATTTTAAGCTATTCAGAAGTGTCATGTTTCCCAAAGTTCTGCCTTTGGTTTCCCTATAAACCACCCACAAGGAAAATCCTGGGATAGTAAACGATTTTTGTCTGTACTTTCATGCTATATCCCTTTCTATTTTTAACACTATATTACAGTCTGTATGCTTACTGTATGGGTTCAGTTGTGAATGAAACATTACAATTTCTGTTGTTTCTTTTAGGTAGAGAACAGACCCAAATATTATGGAAGAGAGTAAGTAACATACATCTCTGAAAGTGGTTGATCCCAACATGTTGGTTGATAATAGTTAGAGAAAAGATTGCAAGCGTTTGCTCTGGGCCCTCTGTTTCTCCTCTGTGTTTTACAGCAGTGTGTCTTGCTCACCGTCAGATTATTGTTGCCGTACCATCGCTTTTGTCTGCCTAAAATTACAGCTGCATTTTCTGATGGATATGGATATCATTGCATGCTACCTTAAGTGAGAAAAACATACCTTTGTGCGCTTTCAAAGGGTTGTCTCTTTCTACCCCCCCTCCAGTGGGCTTCTGCAAAAGGTGTTTGTGTGCAGGAAAAAAAAAGATTTGGATCACAAATGCAATAAAAATGTACAGTATATATGTGTCTTCTGTTTCAGACTGCTAAGGCAAAGATGGTTAGATTTAGTGTGGAGAAACAAAGCAGATCTTACTTGTGTTTATTTTGGTACAGGGTGTGTAGTATTGCTAGGTTATTACACCAGTAATTACTGAGATTATATGCAATCCCAAGGATTTTAGCAAATTGCCATAATATCCCTGAATGCTGCAAAATGTTGGATTGCATGCCACTGGCACAAAACATGCGAAGCCAGCAGGAGAAAAACTGGATTTATTTCTACATATTTAATTGGTAGATACATATTTAAAAAGCAATATACTTGTTTCATAGAAGCATTTCTAAGCCATTTAAAGTGACTTCAAATGCAGGCAGAAAGGGAGATTAATTTAAGCTGTAGATTCCTGCAAATCAGTCATTTTTTATGTTTGTTTTTTTTTTTGATTACCATGGTTGGTGGTTTTTAAAAGAAGAGGAAAAGGTGATTTAAAAGTGAAAAAGTGTGTGTTTCAAGAAGTCTTTGTTTCTTAGATTCCATGGGATGATCTCAAGGGAGGAAGCTGACCAATTATTAAGTGTTGCAGAGGGAAGCTATCTCATTCGTGAAAGCCAGCGGCAACCTGGAACCTACACTTTGGCATTAAGGTTGGTAATTAATATTTAATTTTTAATTTATAAAATATTCAAGAGATTGTACTGTGTTGTTGACCTTAACGCTTAAACTTCCTTGTGATTGTTTTAATTTTTTAAAAAAAATCATGGTCAGCATTTAATGAGCTGGTACTTTTTTACCCTAGTTACAGATTTGGTATCTTTAACCTTCCCTAACCCATGTTGAAGTACTACCATTCCTTACTGTTTGCACCACCAGGATAAGAGCAGTTGTGTTTTTGCTGGTCGTGCTTCATTTTGCTCTTCTCCCGCTATGTTAGAGGTGCGACCCCATGTAGACACTGGGAGAGCAGGCAGTCAAGAAATGAAAGGCATCTTGCAACTTCATGTGACTAGTGTACTGTGTGGGTTGCTTACTAGCTAGCTAGCTGTTGCTGAAGAGCAATCAATCGTCTCTAGTCGCTCTGTGGGATGGCAAATAAATCAGGAGATATTTTTTGTCTGAGCACCTGCTAGCTAACAGTGTTTGCAGATCCGTTTCCTCGCTCTGCAAAATTCTGGCAAGTGGATCATATATAAATAAAAAACTGAAAAAAAATTGCTGAAATAAAAAATAACTTAAATAGTTGTAAGTGTTAAATAGTTTAGTTACTTTTACAGTAATGGAGGTTATTTTGGCCTGGGCTGTACACTCAAGTACTCAGATGGGAGATGGTGATTATAAGCGATGTTTTAAATCTAAGTGGGACAGAAAAACACTGCAGGAGAAGATGCAGTTACTGAAAATTTTACATGGGTAAAATAAGATTACAATTAATTAAAATTAGACTATCATGAAATAATAGGTTGTGGTGAATTAGTTTTCTTCGTTGGGGCGGGAGGAAGTTAGGTTTTGCTGAGGTATTTGTTTCTGTAGTAATAAGATTCCAAATATAAACATTATTGGCATTTACACTGGTTTGCATTAAGAGTGTAAATAAATAGATGTTGCTTATTAGGGTCTAATACTGCATTTCATCTACTTCTGCTCTTGCAATAGTCATTTAAAGCTAAAAAGAGAACAGCTGTCTTAACACCTGGCTTGACAAAGAACTCCTGTCCCTTGCTTCCGATGGTGCAGAAGGCACGGGGTCTGTAGGCTGTGAACAGTGAACCTGCTGAGCATCTTGCCAGATGTATCAATATAGCTTGTTTTACAAATGCTTCTCCAGTGCAGCAAGTCAAAAGATGGGTCTTTTCTAGGGTTGACGGTATCTCTTTCAAACTGGAAAACCGCTTTGAAAGCAAGAAAAATCTACTTTTGTATCCAACAGAAAAGAGAATGGGTAGCTGTTGGTCATCGATTTGGGAAACAGTTTCAAATGATAGCAAAGTTGTTATCATTTATTTTGAGGAAATTCAGCATTTGGCAAAGCGCCTCAGAATCTGAAACCGCAGCATGTTGCAGCCATTCCGTTATGTTTAAGTGCTAGCTGGGTGACTTGTATATTAAGGGCAGTAGTCTAGGTGGTTTCTTTCCAGCCCACAGCAAGTAATGCTGTGTTGTCTTGCTGTTGGCCTTTAAATGATACGAATAAGGGTCTTTGTTCTCACCCCTCAGGTGAAAATTCTCTGTGAACTGCAGCACTGTGTCTTCCACACATGCGAGCTTTACCACTGGGATTTCTTTTTGTCTCTACTAGAAGTGTAGCAGGAGCCTGCGTTTCCACTGGCTGGAGGCAGAGCTG